GGCAAGAGAGTACAAGTGCAGGCTTAGCAAGGCAAAACTGATTGGTTAGTACAACTCAACTCTGGGCGCGTGTACATACACATACAAACACACTGACTGTACACAAAGCCATCCGCCGGGATACCTATGCGTGGCAGTTAATGATATGGGTTGTGGGGCCCGTTCGCAGCCCTCATCTGTTATGCACAACGTCATATAGGCTTTTGGCGGAACGAGTTTCCAGACTAGTACCCCCACAGCGCCCGTAAGATTAAGCAAGGTGGGATTGTAAATCCAGGTATATAGTATTGCCAGCAAAGGCGAGGGAGACTGGAATGACCATTTTGGGCTTAATAGCCGCCGTCAGCCAGTTATACCCAGACCCAAGTGGCGTTTCACCCGAGCCTCGAACTCACGACTTCTTCGATCACAGTTAAACGCCCTAACCACTGAGCTACGAGCTTGTTGTCTTGCCGGTTTTAGGTCGGGGATATTGACACTCGTTGATGAACGTGCATCCGACCGCTAAGGGAACTCATCTGTCCCGTTCTGCCTAGGGCCTCGACAGAGTCCCTGACAGCCATCAGAATAACAGAGGCTAAAGAATTTGAACGGATTACACCTGGGACCGAAGTGATAACGTCGGAACTTTAACTAGCATCCGCGTCTCTTTGTTGGCAATAAAAGATGTTAAAAAATTTAGCAATATATGAACCTCTTTCACCAGCAGGTTAAGAGGAGAGACGGTCAAAGCACAAACGACTATTTTTTAAAGTTGCATCGTCACACTCCAACTGGTGTGATTAACGAAACGAAAAAACAAACGACAACAAATATAAATATCGGAATTCACCAGTAAAAAGGAAGTTTTGTGGCCACTCATACGTATTAAGAAGAAATGGACACGCAACACATCGAATATCTTCCAGGAATGCATACGAAAGGTACTTCAGAAAAAGAGAGTCGTCCCTAACTGGTTCCGATAACACTTTCCAACAGCATTTGCTCGATGAACGTCGGCAGCGCATTTTATTCGAAGAGCCTTCCGGAACGGCCCAATCAGATATATCTTTGTTGGCATTTTTTCAGCCGGAATTTTGCCGTGTTAATAAATAGGGATAATTAAACCTGCGGAGAAAGGGTAGTTGCGATTAAACCCATTCCAGAGCCCACCCCAGGGAAGGGGGGTTATTCTCAGAGGTTTTAATCATGCGCGGTCAGAAAGCCTGTGGAAGGATGGGAAGGACCTTAGGGTAACCTTCAATTCTTGTCATACTATCCCCTTCAAGTGACCCTGGAGCACGCAGACAGCGTCGAAACTGAGCTGATGATTTACCCGTGACAGACGCTGGGCGTCGCTGGCTAATCTAATTACCTCTAACTTACGACTGCACGAAGAAAAGGTGCCTTCGTTGTGCCAGCCGACTAAAGCCACGTCGACTCATGATGTGTCAGGACGATACTGAATCACTCAGATCAGACAACAACGTGAGTGGAAGTCGGTATTTCTTGGAGGGGTCGAATACAGCCCATTGCACTTAATCTAAAACGGGCCGAATGACAGAGGATATATTGGCTTCTTTGTTACTTACTAGCAGATCTCGTGGCACTTGAGTGTCTGCGTGTCTGGCCTAAAGAACTTTTACACTGACAAGACGGTAAGAAAGACCGGGGGCTGCCGCAGGAAGTGCCACTGGAAAGGCGAGTAACAGTGCTTGATATAAAGTAACAAAATCCCTTGTACACTGCAAATTTACGGATGAAGTAACTTGTTCTTGCTAAAATCCCCACACGATTTAAAAGCAGCCAAGTTGAAGTCATGTAACCAGCCACAAGTAAAGCATACTCACGCTGAGCACTGTTCGGTGGAGCGGGTGCAGAAGGGGGATAGGTGCCAGTTGGAGGTTCAGGTGGATGCACGTAACCCGTCTAAAAATAAGAAAAGTAAACGGATTTGCCATTTTAATAGGCAAAATAAACCACTAAGTTAATCTCGTTAAGCTACACCAACTACAACTGCTGACTATTCATTTGGATTAATTCTACCGCTACTATCACTTAGCTGCCCGGTTAACCAATGGGCCGACATAACTATTGACGGGCGTTACAAAATATCATCGTGAAAAGTTAGTTCTTCAGAACGCAGGTCACTTCCGAACAGTCAGACAAACAGAAACTCCCCTTGGGGTTAGATTCTAAATGGCGGTCACAGATTCGCAGTGGACGAGAAGTGCACGTTTGTGAATGAGACGATTTGCTCTTAATGACTGAACTTTCGCCCGTTTACTTGGTAAATATGGAGAGGGGGGCTAAATTTCGCCTCAGGAAACAGGAAAATCGCAGCAAACCATCAGTCCATGCGCAACTATCACCTTTTACTTGCCCCTATACCTGCACTGCTGCCGGATGTTCGGGGAAGAATGACTCCAACTCTCTAGACGCAACTCAGTCGACGAGGCCCGGCCACACATTCAAGTCGAAGGAGGCCGAAATTCACGCGTGAGGGGGCTATCACGGGAGCCGCTAGTTACTTAAGTTATGGTTCATGCGACCTCAGCCTACTAGCAAGAGCAATGGTTGCCAATACAAGCGAACATGCGTGTCCCAGGAAGCAATTGAGAAGAAG